AAGAAAGTTTTCCAGCATTCCTCAAGATGGTCAGGTGCTAGATAATACTGAGCTTACTCTGGAGAAAGGCTTCATAAGTGGCTTTATCAGAATATGTTCTGACCACACTTCTTGTATTGTTCTGTGCTTTGTGATCTGCAGTGCTGAAGGGGAATACATATACCACACTGATTCAAGGGTCAGAAGGCATTCATATGCATGAGAGTCATGCTTTTGAAGACTGAGACCAAAGCATTAAATAGGCATCAGAAACCAGCTGAAGATGATGGAAGTCAACTGAAGGTGACGGGAACTGCCTTGGCATAGCTTGTGATGTTGAAAAGATAGGCAGCATTTTTTCCTTACTGGAAAAAATAGTGTGTTGTTTTCATTTTCAACTTTGGTTACTACAGTGAAGTTACTGGTGGCAACCCAGCTTAGAGTGCAGTAGTCTCCCAGGTGTTGGTTTCAAGCCTTCAAGCTCCTCAACCTGATTGAAGGTATTCCTGGATCTCCAGGCTTAATAAAGATTGAAAAGTTCCATGTGGCTTCCAATTCCCTGGTGGGTGGGGGAAGAAGCCTTTCCAGGGAAGACATTATTTTGTAGCTCTTCAGTGCACCTTCATTTCTGAGCAGTGCCTGCAGTCTTCTGTAGATCCAACCACTTCTGGCTTGTTCCAGCATCCAGACTTGGCTATCAGGCCCCAAGGGTGATAGGAACTTGGTGATTAACTTTTTCATAATAATTTTTTCTAAAAAGTGGAATCTGAAATGGTCTCGGGGTTGTGATCCCCTTTTGAGAAATGGTTTGTTTCCTGTAGCAACAAAGTTGTTCTTTGCTGGCTACTGTCAGAGATGGGTGTATAGATGGTAGCCATAATGTTTTTCAGCATTTTTCAATATTTTTCAATGCTTCTAAAGCTTTGTCATGGAGCTTATATTTAACCATACATAATGGAGCAGACAATACATTTTGTTTGCAGCTGGAATTTTCTTTCCCAATTAGTCCCATATGTACCAACACTTGATACTTGGATCTACTATTTTGCAGACTAGGTTGATTAACTGGTTCTTTGTGCACAACAGGTCTTCTGCCTTGATTGTAGAGCACTGCCTGGTTCATTTTGTCTCCTTTCTGCTACTGTAAGTGCAGTGAGTGTTGGTCCTGCAGCTAGCAGTGAAATTTGGAGTGATTTTTATCCTGGCAGACTTCTCTGTACATAATGTTTATTTACTGCAGTTTATCTCCAAATTCTGCTTTTTACCATCGATCCTTTTTATCTTTCCAGGTTAAAAATATGTGCATTTAAACCGAAGTTTCTCTTTAGTTTAAAATTATAAATCCTGCATGTGAGATTTCCCATTTGTTTGTCAGCCTTGCCAACATTTTGCTAAAGAACTTGTGAAAAGTAAGTGAATGCTATTTTGCATAAAGACAGGCCTGTTTGCAGAGGATAGCTCAACAACCAAAGCTGCTCCTGAAGTCTTTTAACAGCAGCTTTGTTTTCAATAAAACCTAAAACTGGAAGAAAAAGTACTCCTTTAGGAAACCCTACTATATATCTATGAACTCTTTCACTGTCTTGATATAGAATAGGCAGCTCAACATCACCAATTTCTATATAATACTAAGCACTGGAGACAAAGGCATGGACATATTTTGGCAGAGCAGTGCTGATGCTGAGGATCTTGCTCTTTCTTTCTCTTTGATCCTCTTTGCAGTTTCTTATGTGGCTTCTGCCTGGCAATCCTTCTCCTGACCCCACCTGAGACCTCAGCTTTTCTGAGCAACATTTTCCAGTGTGCAGCCACTCTCACAGTAAACAAGCTAAAAAGGACTCTGGGACCATCTCTCCTTTCCCATGGCCCCAAGGAATAAAAATGCCACCACTGTGGAATTATTGTGTGGTACTGGGAGAGACTGCTTGGAAAAAATCTATTAAGCCAAAATCTAATGATGATGCCAAGGAGACAGGGGTCTTCTAAACATTATAAAAAGATCTCAGAGGACACTCAGGAAGCCAGAGGTGAGCTTCTGGGACCACTATCCTGAGAGAAAGACTCTGAAGTATCCGAATTTCTGACTCTGCTCTCAGGCAGAAGGTGGTGAGGAGTATTTGAATGGCTTTCTGCATCTCACTACTATTTTCATCCACGTACATTTGTATCTGGGGAAAGAGTTTCCCAATAATTTATACACATATTACTGAGAAGCCTCACAAGCAAATACTCAGTGCAGTAGCTGCACGCAACTCAAAAGCAATGGGAATGAAAATAGGGTCCATCCACTGTTTTCAGCAGACGTTTCCTATTGGTCTACAATATGGGATTTTTCAATTCCTTTCTTGTTCTCTAAGTTCTTCAGTTTCTGAGGATTACAATATATCTTTCATCACCCTAAGCAGGTTATACATGTAAAATTAATTGACCAAGTAAAGGCAAGGAACATTTCAAAAACTGATACCAAGTTTTTTCTGTGGATAATTACAATAAACTCAAGCATACCGTTTAAAGCCTTTAGATATGCGTTAAAAATAGTCAATTTTCCTTGAAAAATATTTAAGTGAAATGCTCTGTGTAATCGCCCCCCCATATGATACATTATCCTGAAGTTTCAAAAACTCTTTGGTTGAAATTTTAACAGCTCTGCTTCAGAAATGCTAAACAGCAAATACTCTTTCCAGAAATACCATCCACTGTAAACCTGTCAGACTATTACTTAGCTATTAACCTTTCTCGACGAAATTGTAATAGGGCTGTTTAAAAGAATGCTGAATATCAGAAACATTTCACTAATACATAACAGATGGCTACCATATCCAGAAATATTTGTACTGTAAACCAAAGCGCTTAGCAGTTTTACACTAAGAGGTCAAAGATAGGCAGGAAACAGTTTTTCCCATCCCACAAGAATTTTAGTTTTCATATTTTCCTACTCTGATGAATATACAGAATATTAAAGAACCTGGAGTTTCTCATAATAGAGTAAACAAAGAATAATTTTTCTAAGTTTTTATTTGTTTGCTTTTAAAACCAAGTCCATTACACGCTTATCTAATATATCCTCCATGCATATTACATAGTTGTTATTTATCACATCTTTCTTGGGTACAAAATCCTGCCCTGATAGGCCTTCGTGTTCAACAGTTAATAAGTTTTATTTTTCATTTCTGTCTCCTTAACTAAAAACCATTTTCCTACTGGGTTAAAAAAGCAAAAGAAAGTGTTATACCAAAATTGTGACCTAACTGAAATACAGATTCCATATGTCACATACCTTTTATAACTCTCCATTTGTGAGAATAACTGATTTTTCCATCCTGTTTACATGGCTGATTTCACTGTTGGACTTGGTCCTGGGTGTAACCTTTATTTTTAAAGAAATGAAGTTTGGGAAAATGTAGAACTGCTGATTTCCAACCAGTTATAGGTATGGGGAGGGGGACACATGCGTTTGGAAAACTTGTGAAGATGTGCTTTTTTTTCATCTTCTTTAATATTTATATCCATGCCATTAGCTGGCAATCATGCTTCTATAAAAGGATGGGATATGTTTCCAAACAATGTCTTAGTTTAAAATAGTTGGGCACTTCTCGTGGAATGTAACTGAAAAAAAGTACACTGTGTCTTCCATTTAAGAACAAGTAGACACCCTGCTGAAGGATTATGTAATTGAGCCTGAAGACTTGGATGAAACACAGCACAAGCTATTATCATGCGTATATCTGTAATATGAGAAAATAGTACATTTTATGATTTATTTTTAATAACTATGAAGCAATATGTTTTCAGAAAATTTTAATTTGGTGCAATGAAGGCAGAAATCTTGTTTTCAAAAAATGTTTCATCCTTCTATTATGGGAATCTGATGTAGCCAAGATGATTTAGGAATGACATTCTACTACTGGCAGTTTATGCAGAATATTTTTTCTGATACATGTAGCACTAACGCATCGTCTGCACTGCCTTAAAATTTATGTGGTTACTCTTTCTTTATTTTTTAATTGGACTACTGTTATAATTTTCCCTCCCCCATTTTGGTCAGGGCTTTCAATTAATTAAAGCAGAATTTCTTATAAATCTTAGTTCTTCTAAAAGAACTATGATTCTTCTCTGCCTCTCCTTCATGAGGTGTAAATGCTACATGAACAATGAAATTATGACTCAAGAAATATTGTAGCTTTTCTGTTAATTAAAGACTTAAAATTCAAATGAGTATATTTATAAACACATCTAGACATTTACATATATGTATGTTTGAATTCAATTGTGTGACTCAAGAAACACAGGATAAAATTATACATCCTATGTCATACAGTCAGTTTAGTTTTCAACAGTAATCCTAAAATGTTCAAATCATATTAAGCCATTTTACATTTCTATGTATTCACTTTGCTTTTATTCAGTATTTAATACTTGTGTTGATAATTTGTTGAGGGGATATAATGTAAGTTATGTTTTTTTCTGAATATTTTGGTATTTTACTTTTTCTTCCAAAAGTTGAATTTTCAGTGACTAGAAATATCGAAAGGGACTTCAGAGAATGACTTTGGAGATTTTAACTAAGAGCATTCCTTCAGATGAAAAATCTAATTTTTACTTTTAAAAAATCTGAAATTTGTCCTGTTCTTTAAATCTTTGAATCACAAAATTGCTTTGAACTAGCAAAACCAAAGAATATTGTAGCTATAGATTTTTTAGAAGTCTAGATTTTTTTTTTCCCCAGTAAAAAAAGTGCTATTTAGAGATTATACTTCCTCACCACTTTCCTACAACTGGGAGAACTTTTTCAAAATTCCTTCTGATGCAATTTAAAATTAAATTTCAATAGGATATTTTTTTCTTCCGTTATCTTGCCACAGTAAGGACTGTTCTGCACAATCCATTTACTGAAGAAAAGCAGCGGTACAATTTTAAAACTGAAAAGCTCTTTTTTCCTGTTTTTTTATTAGAAGACGCATGTTTGTATTTCATAATAAATGTTCCCCTGGCAGAAATTCTTAGTTCACCTTGATGTATTTTAATCAGCTTTGTTCTCAGTGCTGCACAGTAGCCTTGTCCACATAGACAGGCCAAACAGGGCAGCTGGCTTGCAGTAAGAGCCCAGCAATGATTATTGTGATGCATGTTTGTGCCGACCTCCTCCAAGAATGCAATGATTCAAAGTCCACTAAGCTTTTGTTAAAACTGTACCTGTTTTATTTTAGGTAAAACAAGTGATGTTTGTTAGGTAAAAATGAGATAGTAACACTGAAGGAAACTTCTGTTTTGTTTTTAGCCTGCCTCTCCCTCCATTTTTGGGTGAGATCTTTACATGAGAGTAAGTACAAGCCTTCTTGGCAACCTCTAAGTTTTACTAACATTTGTGTGTCTTCCACTTCTCCAGAAAATTACTCTCCTGCAACTTCAGACTCTGACTAACCAAATTCAACTATATTAAATTCTGTAACAATGCTGCTATAATACCTCCCCACCTTACCTCTCCCAAGTGTGTTCTCCTCTAACATTTCCAAATCTCTTCCAATGTAAACGTCCTGTAACCCCCAGTATGTACTTCTCTGGACTTGGCACAGCTGCTGTGTTCACCCATCACATTGCCCAGCAGATCTTGGTCACACCCTCCTCAGACAACTTCTTTTCTCTGAGAGCAATGACTGTTCAGAAGATGGCTCCTCTTAGCTGTTACCTGCACTTACCTGAGCACTTCTTTTCTTCCATGAAAGACTACTCAATCTCTTTTCTATTAGTTTCAAGCTCTAGAAGAACAGCCCATGGCATTTGGAGTAGACAAGGAGGGCAGTGATTGTGTGATTGTAGCCTCAGTGCTTTTCGCAGTTTTCTCATCTATAAAATTGTGATGCTTCTTTTCTTGCTTTTCTCTCCCAACTTTCTGTTAAGATGCAAGTACACTTTTATGTAGGAAAGTCTTACAATTATTTTCCCTATTTCCCTAGCAAAACTTAATTTTAACACAGCATGCTACATAAAATTGCCAGTAGTCACAGGCTTTTAATCTGATGTTGTAACAGATATTGGTCCTACTAATTCCAGCTAATTTGCTCTTTGCATGTTTCCAGTATTTATGAGCACAAGGAATGCCATGCTGTGCCTTTCTATCCCAATGGATAAGGCCCTATACTAAATCCATGCTGGAATACATGTCCCTGTGCTGTATCCTAATTGAATTTTTGAGAGAGATTTCAGCTGTTCATGGCCAGCCTTGTTACCTATGTTAATCTGGATGGTATCCTAAGAAGGTATTGAATTCTTGAACATAGTTCACTTTTAAGGCAAGTTTTCTTTGTGAATCAGAATGAAGTGCACAATCTCTCTGAAGCAGCCTGGATTGCTAAATCCCTTTTTTTTTTTTTTTTTTTTTTCATGTATATATATATATAATTTCTCTCTTATGCTTGCAAGTGCATACACACAGAGACACTATAAGCTTTATAAAGTTAATAGGGCCCTTGGCCCGATTTTAAGCCTTTGTCTTGACTAGACTAATTTGTTTTATTCTGCTTTCCTTCTGCTTAGTTTGGTGTCTGAATTTAGTTTAAGTGAAGTTGCTTGTGATCATTCTGCATGAAGGGCACCACAGAAGTAACACAGGACTGACTGAACTGATTGAATGAATAAACTCCTCCCTGCTATGTTCTCCTCTTCATTGGTATTTAAAAGGAAGGGAGATGGAGAGTTGCGTAGATTCTATTTGGTCTGCATATTTTTCTTGTGTACTCTTTCTACCATTTCTGTACTTACAGAAACAAAATACTGAAATAAGGCAGTTAAGAAATGTAGCCTATCTGTTGTTGTACAGTTTGTTTTTAAACTAGAGAGAAGACAGTAAAAATGCACAGGGAGTATTCTTAATGCTTTTTCTCAGGACACCCTTGCAGTAGGTTGCTACCTGACAGAAGAGCACAAAACTGAATAGAAGTCAGTGAAGTCCTCCAGTAGCTCTGTAAGAAACATGAAGATTGTGGCTTGGAAAAGATATTTACTTGTGCCTTTAGACTTCAGCAAACTAACCGCAAGAAGCTGAATGGGATGACAGGCAATATGTGCAGTAGGGAGAATAAGAAGTGGGCTCTTGCAAGTACCCTGGAGGTAATAAGGAAGAATTAATGTGATTGTAATACTTGAGACCTCACCTGAAATGCAGTATACATCTCAGGTCATCCGCATTGAAGAAGAGTGAACACAGACCGAAGCAGATTCAGAGAAGGATCTCCATCCAGGAGGGCAATGGAGAACCTATATTTTGAGAGGATACTAAAAACAACCTTGTTTTTTTTTTTGTTTGTTTGTTTGTTTTTATTTTTGTTTGTTTTAATTTAGCAAAGCAATACCTCTAAACACATCAGGGAGAAGGAAGAGCTAGTTGAACTAGATATCAAAACAAAAGATAAAATACATTTAATCAGTAACAAAAAGTGTAGAAAGTCAGAAGGTCCTCAAACTTTAAACTACTATGGTTCTGATCAGCATCCTCAAGAGATGTAGTGGAAATAAAAATGGAATTGCTTGTGAAACACAGTTCAGTCAGTCTCTGAATAAGATGTCATATGACTGCTTACGATAGCTGGTCTTGATGATGCAAGGGATCCCTTCCAATCTTATGTTAATGGAAACAAAAAATATATATTTCAAAGACAAATGGTTTCAGTTGGAGTAATAGAACAAATGAGGCTTTCATGTCTATTGATAAATTCTTCAGTTCTTATCCTTAGAATATGGAACTGTTAGAATTATGGTCAGAATATTATAAACTCCAACTAAAAATTATGTCCAAAATTTTTATGACTAAGTGAGCACCTCTGGACTTCTTCTGGCACACATCATGTGTTGTAGGTTGTTATCTCATCTGAGATCACAAATGGAATGATTCTGAGTGTAGTCTGAAGTTGGATAATGGATGTAGAGGATTGCCAAGTGAATCTTTGGCTTGCCTTCTGAATCAGTAATAAGCAAATGTTTGGCTGTACAAATTATATCAATGGATCTGCAACAGCCAAGAAGGTACATTTCCAAATAAAACATAAAATGGACTTCTGTTTTTTATGGTTATTAAAAATCATGGGGTGCTTGGACATCCTACCAGTCTGACCAGGAAATATTATTCTGTGTATATTCCTGTAGTTTCAGCTGTAAGGTGGAACTCCTAAGCCAGTGTCCATAAAGTTTTTTTGGACCAGTGAGGCAATTCTCAGACTTAATAATATCACAAGCCTTTAAGAAACACACTTTGTTGTTGTTGTTTCAGAATATCCCTGGGGCAATTGTGAGCCTGTATTCTGCTTGTGAATCACTTATTCAAACCTCAAGACTCACTGTTAGAAAACTGTTGCATTGCATTATTAAGGAATGATTATTTTCTTTCACAAGATGGCTGTAATTTGAGATTGACTGCAATAGTCAAAGATTTCATACATCTAAATATTTTCAGCACTTTTTGGTGTAATTATGTGTATCATTTTTGTTGCTGATCTCTCACTTTCTAAATTGAATCATTTATTATTATTATCATTACTATCATTATTATTATTGCTGCTGCTCCTGCTGTGTTTATCACTCCATGCAACTACAGGGCACCTTTGGGATTGTCCATCAATGGTCCCCTTCATCTGTGGCCTCTCCTACCTTGGTAGGCAGGGCAGTTTTTATTGCTTGGTGCTTTTTGAGTTCTACATCAGACTGAGAATAGCTGTAGAAGGAAGAGAAAGACTCATTTTTTTTCCTCTTTGTTAAGCTCAAAAGGAAAGAGAAGGAAAAGTTTCTGGTGTTAATGAACCAAGTCTGTGAGAGTGGAGAATGTTTAATACCTATTTTTAAATCTTCTTTTCCAGGCTACTTGAATCAAGCTTTGCCAAACATACCACTGTTAGAGATATTAGGCTATTGTAATACTAGAGGCCATGGTCAGATGTAAAATTAATTTTCTCTCACCACATCCAAAATAACTTTGTATGATGCATACGTGTATTTTCCCTGCCACAAAGGATGAGGCCAAATCCATGTCTGGCATATTTAATTGCCTCTATTAGATTGCTTTTGTGTGGTCCTCTCTCTGAAGGTGTGGTAAAATACCAGTATTAGTCCTATTTAGAAATGTGTGCAGAGTTGCAGCCCATAGTGCTTTAATACAGCTAACTATGCTATTAACCAACATTTGCACTACAAAGTCTCTGACAATTCAGACTGCCACACAAACATTTGTTAGTTTTCCTCATATTTCTCCAGCACAGATTGTGTTGCAAAGCTTATGTGCAGGATTCAACTCAGGAAATGCCTGGTCACACCTGGGATGACTGTGTGCTCTATGTGATGAGGTGGGCTCCTCAGGATGATGTACGGGGTACTAACGCAGTACCAAGATTTGAGACAATTTTTTGCTTCTAAGACAATAACGATGGTATTTTATAAATGAATGTGCAATGCTGTATAGTAAGTCTAATGTCTCAGCCAGCATTTAGGAGTACATTGATTTGAAGAGCACATATTTCTCATTGAGCAATTTTTAATTAAAAAAAAATAAATGATTATGATTGAGAAAAGCCTGGTTCTAGAAGGATAATCATGGACCACCCAGGTGTAGTTTTTACAAGACCCAGTTCATTAAGGAATGCCAGAATGTTATCTCCTGAGGTTATCAAGGAAGAAATTAGTGTACAGCACTAGAGGCTATTTGTTAAGTTAAAATTCCAATAGAAAATGAAAGGGGAAAAAAAGATGGTACATTAATATTATTTTATTTAAACTATGATTCTCCATTGCCTTTGCCAAAATCTTTTATGGAAAGTGCAGTGTTACAAATAAAAATGCAGACAGTAGAAAAAGCCACACTACCATGAGTACACCCATATGGCATGTTGCAGGATAGGCAAATACATGGATTTTACTGAAAAAAAACACCAACCTCCCACAGAAAGTGAATAATTTAAGTGGCAAAGCTTATACTTCCCGTAAGGACATACGCTGAGGACCAGCTATCCAAACAACCATGTTGCTGTAGATGTTTATGAGGTAGTTGACAGTCATTCTGCACAAATGCTGCTTAAATGGTACTGCAAAGCAGGAATGGAAGTGACCTTCTAAACTTGCAGAACACTGAAATGGGAGCAGACATGGAGGAGAACAGACAGGATTTCTTACTGCTGCTTTTTACTTGCAGCCATGACTTCTTTGCTGAAATTTCACTCATTCTTGTGTTGCAGTAACACTGACAAAGAGACAGAGAGAGAATGTATTATTTTTATTTGGAGCTGATTAACTTTGTTTGTTTGTTTGCTTGTGAGTAGAAATTCCATCATTTATAAGTAT